CTAATTATAACTGAAAGGTTGATCTGAGTGAGCTTTACGTGCACAGGACCAATTATGCGCATATCTAAGGCAAGTCTCGAATGAAATGATAAAATATCCGACTGCAATCGTTCGCAGTAATGAATCGAATTCATTTTATGGTAATGTGTCGATTGTTTTGTGATAATAGAGGTTTATAACCGCGACTCTCATCTACCTCTGCCAATGAAACCTATTTTACGGTTCATGCTCCTGCAGTCTTGGTAGAAACTTATGGAAATTTTTCCGAAAATTGCTTTTGCAGCGGTTGGGTTTTCATCAATGACCCTTGTTTTTTCATTTATCCTTGGATACTTAATTTTAAATAAAATTATTAAAAGTTTTGAACGAATTTTTAAATAGAAAACCTTTGTTAGGTGAAAACTATAATCATAATAATTAAACAGCTCTTTTCTAAATGGCATCTGAACAAAAGATCGCCTACCTTTTCGTTATGTCTTTCTTATTGGTTTTGTGTTTTTCAATATACGGAAGAATTGTAGATATCGGAAGCACACTGGCGAAAAATATACCATAACGACTAATTTTGAAACTCGTGTCGCCTAAGAAAATTAAATAATTCAAATAATTATTTTTACAAAAATGGCACTACATTTATTAATTATAAACATTTTTTTCGGGAGCGTTAAATTTCAAACATCATGAGAGCCAGCTCAAATGCCTCATCATAAATAATGTCTAAAATCATCACAATATCCATACATAACCATTCGTTTACCATCATTTATCAGCAATAATGACAAGGAAGATTTTTCACTCGAACAGCTATAAGATTATTGTCAAAACATCCTGAGTCTTGAAGCAGACAGAGCATTGGTAGGAAACATAAAAACCGATTATGAGTTTCACGCAGAGACAACAACCAAATCAGCATGCAAACGCGAAAAAGCCTAGAGCTCCTTATTGGCGACATTTCCTTTTTCTACCCACCTTACCTGGGTATGAATGGAACATCAGTATCTTCACAATTCGATTTCGACTCTGATAACAAAAGGTAAGGAAGTCAGGGAAAAGAATAGGCCATCTAATATTTAATTTTTTTCGAGAGAAACTACTTGTCAGACATCCCAAAATGTTTAGTCACTTCAATCCCATTCGATGTCCTTGGAATTGAATGGATTGGCGTTTTTGGATTGAGAAACATTTCAGTTACCTTCAACTGAAAAAAAAAAAACTTCCACCAATATCAAAATTTTCCATTAATGATAACTTATACAGTTTTAAAACAACATTCTCCAGAAGTTTTTGGAAAAAGATTTTGGGCACTATATCAAATCTATAAAGTTAAAACTATTCCGTCATTGATTCCACCCTATGCAAAACCAATTATTTCGCCCCAAACTACCAAATTCTCACGATTTCAGGGCGTGGATGAATAAACAGAACGAGAGAACTTCAGAAACAAGGAACAATCACAACAACGAATAGAAAATTTTAATATGAATGTGCTAATTACTTTACTGCCTTCAGAGGTGTTTTGGAATTTAAATTCATGGCCATTACCAGAAGACATTTGTGCAATAAACTCAAATGGTCCAATAAGTACCTACGAATAATACAAGTATTAAACGTTGTACCCACAGCTAATAACTTATACTACTATGACCTTGTATTGATTCCGGACACTGCCAGTTAATGGACAATACGTGTCGATTCTTGGTTTTACCTTGTAACATGGAGCCACATGCTATATTAGGCTTATTCCTATGGTGGTGTTTTGGTCTCCTTCCTTTCTCTCAGTTGGCTTAGGTCGCACTGATGAGAAGCCGACAAGTTCGAAACCGATCTGAAGCTAGCGAAGCATAGAATAAATGATAATTAGGTTTTGAGGTTGTCTGAAACCTTTTCATGTACAAATTAATCATAAATCAAAAAATCTCCAGCATTAATCCACATGAAAAAATTCTATGGACGCAACAGGTTGTCATTTGCTGGTAAAACAGCTTCTAGTGCATTCTAACAAATAATGATTGATACTCGAACTCGTGATGTTCGTGTTTGTATTCACTGTTAGGGGAGGGTAATTTTTACCCAGTTTTAAAAATAAAATGCAACCTTCAAGGATCTCTGAAGTCGGTTCTACACTGACAATTTTATTGTTCAAGTCGCTTGCCAAGAAATATTGATAATGTAAAACGCCAACTTGACGACAATTTCACTTGCCCAAGCTCTTGCTCAATTTATTTACGAATTAGCGCATGTTTTATTTTTCCGTCAATTTTTGTGTCAATTCAGGCTTGCAACCTGTAGGAATCTCAAAGTTACAATTAATTTATCCCTTGAATCCCTGAAATTAGTATTTAATTTCTCCAGTCGTGGTTTCAGGCGATCAAGTAATTTATTAAAACTTTCTTCTGACAAACGAAAAAACTGTTCAGGGTCTTGAAACTCTTTGCTGACTAATTTTAATCCTGCATTTTGTTTGTCTTGTAACCAAGGCCTGACCCACTATCTTCTTTGTCTTTTTTCAGGTTGTTCAATCAAAAAACCATACAAAATAAATTTGTTAATAAACATTTTTCAATATATTTCTGGGTGAGCGAGTCATAAATAAAAACATAACCTTAAAATTCTAGTTAAGTTGGTAGAATATTTTGACGTGTTGTCAACAAGTTAATCCGGTGAAAAGCGAAGTTAAGACATTGTTAAGCCAACATTAATTGGCAAATAAATTTGCAAACAAATTTATCAATTTAAATTGTCAGTGTAAAACCACCATAAGGCATTCATGGATTCATGATTAGGGTTTCCGACTTAAGTTTGAGGAATATGAGCTTGTCATTCCACAAATTAAATAGCCTGATCACATTCTAGCCAAAGATCGCGTATGAATCGATTCATCAGAAATTCGAATCAATTTCGAGACATCGCGATCAAAATATATCATATATGAGATTTTCCTGCTTGGGCGCAATAATTTATATCAAAATATTATCAAACACATAAAGAATATCTTCTGGACGCATTGTAAAGAAATAGCAAAATGGAATTGGAGCCAGAGATGAATGAATTGACGACTTCGACAGGATGGATTTTTGGAATTCGCCAATGAAAAGTAAATAAACATATTATGTTTCACATGATGTTGCTTTGCGATACAATTTTGTATTACAAAATTGTCGCATTTGGCTTTGACGGTTAGTTTTCCTTTTGATTGATGTACTATGTACCAATTACTCTGTGTTTGTGAACTTTCAAAATATAAGTTACCTATCTCTTAGCCATGTCGAATAAAACTGTTAATTTTAAGAACACAAGTGAAACTATCAAATCTTTTTTTTTTTTTCCTTTCAATAATAGGCGATAAAATCTAAGTGATACTATACAGCAGTAACGGCATTCCCTATAAAAGGGCACCCTGCTGATTAAATGGAGACAAGACTTCTTTATCCAATTATCGGAATCTTTTGGTGGCCTTGTTCAGTGTTTCACTTTCAATTAACAACGCCTGCTACGTTTTTGGGATTATGAAAAAAAAACACTATGTTCAAGTCAGCATGTTGTATGTCGCATTATGTGTTTGGGAATGGTGTCCCGTTGAGGACTTTCCAAATGGATATATATATGAAAAAAGCTTGATAAAGCTATTGGATTAAATCTGGAAAAATTATTTTTAGAATTTACCTGATTTAAAGTCATGATATTGACATGGGTACCTCATAAGCTACATAAAACCCAACAAATATTCTCTAAAACATATAAAACAACTTGGAACTTTTTTTGCCGATTCAGTGCAATTGAACATTTTATGAGAATTTTCCTTTTGTTTGTCGGAATTCCTAATAAAAGCAAGAATTGAAATACTAAAACTATCGAATAGTCATGCCGCCGGAATGAGATTCGGTATTCGACGGATTCGGCAGGAGCTGAATTATCAAATAGATATATAAATAAAATCAAATTGACATTTAAAAAGCTAGATACTCTTTATCAACGTTTTTTTTTTTCCATAGGTAGCTAATATCAGGCCTTGGAAATAGTCTAGGGAATATATGGGTTTTTCAAAAATTTTACGAGGAGAAACTGATTTTTTTAGAGCTGATTGGAGACTGTGTCCTGAGTATTGAGCCAAGAAATCACACAACTTTTATTGCGGTCTTTTTGTCGAAAAAAAAAATAAATAAGAAAAAAGCCAATAGGGCTGAACGCACAAGGCTATCGAGTGTGATTTTTTGGCTTAATACTCAGGACACAGTCACAGATTACCTACATACAGATGCGAAAGAGCGGCGAATTCGTGGTTCAAGATTAATTCGATAGACATAGGCTGGCCGTACCAATGCCGCATCAATGTATTTTGAACATATTTATTATATAAATGCGGAAGCTCAATAATATAATATTATTTCTTTAATTGGTTCACAAACAGCAAAAAAATATTCTTTTCTACCCGCAAAAATATGTAAACACACAGGCTGGAACATGCTCACGCACTCGGCCACGTTAATTGTCCTGACGCGGGCGTTCAGTATCTATGCGTCGGGGTGCTGGCCCCCCGGCTTCGACACAGAATATCGTCGACGGCAAGTATACGTACTTACGCATCTGTATTAGGTGATCTGTGACACAGTCTCCAATGAGTCTGAAAAAATCACCCTGCCCTCATAATTTTTTTCGAAAAACCCATATATTCACTGGACTAAAAAAAAAGGTTCACTTTAAATGTTCGGGAAAAAAATAATTATTTACCTTTGCGTTTAAAAAAAAAAGTAGAATATTTTGTTCTCATGTTTTTTTTTCGAAAAGTTAAATCAATTGTGTGGTTCAGCATCCACGATTCTTCTCCGGCACCGGCCAAAAATTTTCTCGTTGCTTCCGGTATCCAGCATTTTCGAATAGTGGATCCGGCGGCATCACTTTTGCTTCAATAGAAATGTCAAGTCAAAATATCAATAATTTTTATTCAGGAGTTATTTTTAAATTTAATTGAAAGTTTTTTTGAATTCATTTTTTTTTTTCAGATTTCTTTTGGTTTTTGCTGGCTTAGTTTTAAGTGTGTTTTCCACCATCGATGAGTACGAAAAACAAGCCGGTGATGTCTTGGTTTATATGGAATCCATTGTTTGTACCACCTTTTTCTTCGAACTAATTTTGAGGTAAGTCATACTTCATAAACAATTTTCGGGTAATAAATTCCAGGTTTTTTAAAAGTCTTGTAAATTTTACTTATGTTTTTGTGATATTGTCAATCCTCCTCATGTCAGCCCTTACCCCCTTACAACCATGTAGTCTGACTCTTTTTCAAACGAGAGTCCAGAACTCGGTCTTATTCTGACTCTTGTTGAAAAGTTCTTTGTTTAAGACGAGTGTTATGGTACCAATGAAAGTATTTATTTTTGTTTGATCAAAAAAGGTCAAAATTAATTTAATTAAAAAATATTTAATATAACTTTCCAAATTAAAATTCGGCAATCAAAGTGAAGCAGGTAATTGTCGGCATTCCCTTGAGATGATTCCATGTTACAAATGCTGAAAGTGGACCCCCATCTTCTTTTTGACATGCGCCAAGACAGAGGGGATTCAACAGAAATCCCAAAGCGGGGGTGGCAAGTTCAAGTGGCGACTTGCGGCGAACAAAAAAAAAAAGATTTATTGACAATAAAATAAATGGGATGAACAATATCATTAAAATAATTGAGAAAAAGTGAAGAAGAACAGCACAACACTAAAGAATCGAGGCTGCAAAAAAAAGGCCCGAATGCTTTCCTACGACAAAATGGCCATTTTGAAAATTCATGACTTAGAGGGTACGTTTAGAGTTCTTGTGCTCATTACAAGTTTGTTATGGGCAGGAACCCTCCAAAATGAGACAATGAGAGAGAAATACAAAAAGCAACCTTTTCTGCGTATTTTTTGTTGCTTTTTTCGATTTTTCCAAAGTTTTCACTCACACCATTTTCCTTCCTCGTTATGGTCTAGATTTTTATCACTTCGTGGCGACATTTTCGTATCGAGCAAAAATCTGTCGACATGTGGACGGAGTCAAATGACTCAAATGCAAGTCGTAGTCGGCAGCAGATATTCTTATGATCTAAATATATTTTACAGGGTGATCATATCTCGGCATCTACTTATGCCATGATCATCAAGTAAAAAAAGTATTAAAGGCCGTTTTACAGCTTGCAAGAAAACTTGAATGCAATTTTTTGCATGCAAAAAAATTGCATTCAAGATTTCTTGCACGTCGTTTTATACCTTGCATTTTGAATTATTTCCTTCTCTAACCTTAACCATAGGTACTTTTTTGTTTTTAATTTTGTGTTGTTGATGTTATTTGCATTTTCCAAAAATGGAAAAAGTGATTATGAGTCGATATAAAAAGAAAAAAGCAATGGCAGCCACTTTAAGTATCATAATTGCTAAAAATTCCCATGCTTGCGCGAAAACTCTTCAAAAAAAATGGCACCAAACCGATTGTATGCAATGCTATTTAAGTTTCAAGAATCTTGCAGAAAACAATCAGCTTACTCACTTCTGCGCATGCCTTCGTTCAAGTTTTTTGCATATTGCAGATGGGATTGCAAGCTGTAAAATTGCCTTAACAAATATGGCCATAATAAACTGATTGAAAATATTCCTGAGTTTACCACCAGAGGGCGCATTAGTGCTACAAAAACTTGTTGTTTTCTCAAAATATCTAAAATATAATTTATGTTCATAATGCACTTTTTGGAATGCATTTTCAGTCCTTCACAAGTTTTGTTTGAACATTTTTCCGATAGATGTCATAACAACGACGTGGTAGATACAGTGACTCGATAAAACTCTTTATAAACAGTGGCGACAATAGACGAAAATTTTACAACCAAAAACACTGGCAGCCATCCATTTGGTTTATACAGGCGGCGGCCATGTTGTTGCAAAATTTTCGTCTATTGTCGTCACTGTTTGTAAAGGTTTATCGAGTCACTGTGGTGGTAGAGTGAAACATCTAAAAATATTCAGAGTGCTCTAACTTAGCGGATTTTCACAAACAAGTTTTTGTAACACATAGATAAGCTCAGGAACTTGAAAATAGTTTCAATCAATTTATTTTGGCTATATTGGTCAATACATTTTTTACTCGAGGATTATGGCATAAGTACTGTCCTTCGTTTTCAATCCGGCACTTTCCGTATTAGACTGTGAGATAGGGGCTGTTTAGTGGAGTCATTTTTTTTTGTCTGGCATTTTGAGGTCTGAATGTGGCTCCTAAGCTGATGAGAATATGGGTGATTTTAATGCCAGCCTCCCGTTCGAACATTTGCAGAAGATTTTTTTTTAATGGTCTCAAATTTTCTGGCTTTTAAATAAAAGATTGACATCGATAAATAATTCACCCATGAAAAATATCAGATGCTTTTCAATGGCTGAAAAACTGGGGATGGGTGTCAACTTCCAAGAGAAAAGAAAAGAACCTTCTGCGTTTACTTTTTGTCTGGCAATCGAGAGAATGAAAGGTTTTGTTGTGAAAATAACGCTGAAAAATCGCCAGACAGTAATCACAGTTCGAAATCGAGTTTTCCGGCGAAACATTCTGTGGACATTTCGAACAGGAGGCAGGCATTAAAACCACTTATATTCTCATCAGCTAACTAGTCACATTCATCCCTCAAAATGCCAGACAAAAAAAAATGACTCCACTAAACATGGCCTATCTCAGGGTCTATATGAGGAGCGAGGGGGTGAAGCATATAGCAAAAACAGGTGTGACGTCAGGTGAGCATTGGCGTTCTAGCGTAGAGTGCCACCAGCTCACATTCCTTTGGAGTATCATAGTAAAATCGACAGACTTTAGATTCCTACATATATGGCCCATAGCCAATTTTAACTGATGGATTTTACTGTTAAATTCGATCAACGTCATTTTTTAATTAATTGAAAAAGAGGATGATAACTAGAAAAAAAAATTGTGTCCCTGGCGGTTCCAAATAACGATATATCTGTACGTCATGGGGGCTACAACCTTTTACAAAAAAAAAAAAACAGGAATTCCAAAAATAAAGAATAACTCAGCATATACCGAATACCGTGCAAAAACTGCCTCTCGATACGTCATATCATATCAATTTTTAGTGATTGTACGGTTTTTGATCAGTTCAAAATTTCAGGATTCAGGTAGATGTTTTTTTTAATTTGGAGCTAAGTCAAATATAGATAATAAATTTGCGTTTTTAAATTATTGGAAAATGTACCTATTACGGATAGACTTTCTGCAAACAAACAATACACTCTCAAAAAATCAATATAGGTTTATAAACGCGTCAAGCACTTCAAGTGCGCTTTAAAAGTTGTCTAAACACATAGAAAAAATTAGAGGTAGTGGTAAACGTAGATATTGCAATATTCTAGATTTGTCAATGGTTCTCGACACGGTGCATCAAGATAAAATTTATGATATGTTTAATTAAATTAGTCGGATGGGTGTATGGGTTTTCTAATTTCTTTTCTCATTACTAAAAGATTCTCGAAAAAATGCTTTCATTGTAGCCTATAATTTTCTGGGAGCCATCTTTTCAATGTCAACTGGGGTGCAGCCAGAACAACTGGTCTATGTGAACAAGTCTTCTACGATGGAACGCTTCGCAATACGTGCTGGGCAGATTCACAAGCTTGATCAATTCCTTTCCTATTTTTATGAGGTTGCGAGAAAAATGCCTACCTCTTTCTAAGGCCAGGATTCGAGTTCTAGCGAGAAACTTCATAATACCCGATAATCAAAAGGACACCAAGAAATGCATATTCAAATTATCATGCGATTATGGAGAGGCATACAAAGAGGAAAAATACCAGACGCGAAGAGACCACCAGATAGGAGAATTAGAGAACACCGAACCGACACACAAAGAGGAGAAACCGCCAAATAAGGAGTATCAAAACACGCATTGGAGAAACGACAAATGGTCAGACGGAAAGTAATTTACAAATAACAACATTGGAGACAAAGAAAGTTTAAATTGGCAGCATATATGAAAGGAACTCAAATCCAATTTTAGGAAGGTACTAGAAATTTACGGTCATTAACAATACTCTTTTAGTAGATAAGCTGGTAGATTTGAGAAAGTTTTTCATTTGGTTGAAGATGAAAAACTTTGGAAACGTTGCCACCATAAACCAAAAGGTAATGGAAGTCCATCGAACATAGCTTACCACCTGCAAATTAACTTAAGGGAAACCGTGGTAAACCCTCTAAAAACTTTTCAAATAGAAAAGCACTTAGCAATTGAACTTGTAGTGATCCCTATAGCAATCCGTCCAATATTTCAGGTCCTTCCGTTTTAAAACTGTTCTCAGTAATTACTGGTTTTTACAAAAAGGACTATTTTCATTAAATATTTTTCTGTTAGGGTTTATCGAAGGAAAAGAAGATCGCGTGTCTTATAAGCGTTCAAGAGCAATATTGAAGAAGGGTCTGAGTGGACAGAATTGGATTGGATTCTTCTATAAAATATAAATAAGTTTATTTTATCAAATTATTTTGTTTTACATTTTTTTAGTTAGTTATTATAAATATTTCCAACCCATTATTTTATTAAATGATATGTATATATTCCGTATCACGCACTATAAGGAAAAGATTTTGGAGTTGCCGAGCCGTAGAATGATGCTCAAGGAACGCCCGCAAATAACACCCGTCCAAAGAGGAAATTATCGTTATTTGAATATGCTGTAGTTAATCGTTTCGAGTTTTTTTTTTTTTTCGAATTCAGGAAATGTTGGATTTGTTGATTTCCATAACTTCAGAATTGCTAATGATGAAAATTAAATTTATCAATGTTTCTATTATTTGCTGTTTTCCCCCCACCCTTTCACTTTAATCCAGCACTGTATCAAAGCTGGCAGGGATGGCGACATAGCAAGCCATAAAAGGTACAAAAGTGGAAGTGAAATGGGATGCATTTTTACACTTTATTTATAATTTGTAGATGATTTATTCTATTTTTTCCAGAACTTGGTCTTCAGGATGTAGATCCCGCTATCAGGGCTGCTTTGGCCGGCTCAAATTTCTAAGGAGGCCGTTTTGTGTTATTGGTAAGAATTGAATTTTTTTTTCACTTCAATTAACTTTGAAATACATACATACATTTGGCTTGAGAGTAATTTTTTATAGGCTTGGATTGACTTTAGGCTCATGTTTCAATTATTATCCTTGAAGAGCTTGGAAAACTGGGTGAAAGGCTATACCTACCATAAATAAAGTACTCTTAATAACTACACGAAATGATCAGAAAGTTCAGTGTTAAGTCTGGGATTAGGAATTCTTTTGCTGCAAGCGGAGGACGTCATTCAATTAAATGTTATTTAAAATGTCTACCAATAAATGGCTTTGATATTAAATAAAGACTCAGAACCGATGGGTTACTGTGTAGAAAATTACCTAAACTAACCCGAGACTTGAACCGATACAAAAATGACCGATCTCAACAATCAAACTGAGTGTTATTATAAAAACTTCTTTTATGTCCATTCCTCTTTTCGCTAAAAATCCAAAACCAAATAATTGAAAAGTTCACCACGTACTCACTTATAAAATAGTCAACAGCATTCCGGTTTCTCGTTTTTGAAAAGAGTGGCATTTAATGAAGCTGTTAGTATGAAATGCATCGCATAACTGTTCGCGTACTAAAAGTGAAATAGGAGCGCTCAAAAGGCCGTTCCTTGACGAATTTTCGCCATCAAAATTATGTTCGGATTAATGGAAGGTTGTGGAATAATTTGTACCACCAATACTGTCATTTTATAATAGTGACCATTGACAGAAATCCAACAACGCAAATAGAATATTCAACGTGAAGGTGAAGCTGCCTTCTTACATATAGCATTTTTAGGGGTCACTTTAATAAAAGAAGCCGACTTCATTATCATAAGTTCTGTCAACTTGGATATATCAATTACTATGCATCACAAAATCAAAATGATATATGGTATACATTGAAATGTTAATGCTTAAAAAATACATAAATACATGTTCTGTCAGCAGGACATTACTTGAAAATGCACAAATCATAATACATTAAAATGTTCGTCTAATTAAATGGTAATTGAATGCTCTAGTAAAAAATTTAATGCTCCTCAAAAAAACAAAAATTACATGAATATATGTTCTGCCAGCATTTTTTCATTTTTGCCTTCAGAATAATTAAGCACATTTTGGATATTTTCAAGATCCAGACAAAAAAACACGTTTTTCTTTGTTGCATAGAAATTTTTGTAATAAATGTATGCTGTTCGAATTCCTACCTACGAAAAGATGACAAACAGACACTGCAAATTTTAATACCAAATTACATCAGAGATTATTTTATTTTACTAGAAAAGTTTTTGTGTGATTCTGTTTTCATGATTTAATGTTATACGTAGTTTGAAGGAATCATTGACGTTCTATAATTTATAACAATATTTCATCAAAAACCCTAATTGCAGATGGAGCTCTGTAAGTTATTTATTCAGTAAAAGCTCACAATCTTTAAAGTGTATATTCAGGACCTTTCCTTGAAAAAAAATCAATTGGGCGGACATATATGAAGAGCAGTTAATGTGCCAACATAATAAAAATGAAGCAAAATGTTGCTGCACTTATTCAACAAAAATTCTTAAATAGCTTCAATTTTTTTTTAAATTTAACTTGAATTTGACTGAAATTTTTTACCGTTTGAAAAAGGCATTAGCCAGTTTAATGTTGGAGGAAACTCAATTTCCCATGCGGATTACATGAAAAAAGGCCGGAAGCAGCCGCCAACGTAATTTTCGGTAAAGTAAATAACGTTAAAATTTATATACAGTAAATTATGGGGCGATACGAAAGCGTTTGTGTACGCAGTTCTACTCCATTCCGTTCATAAAATAGGAGAGCAGGAAACTCTAAAATTTTAACTTATCACTTTGCTGGTAGGAATTTTCTTTATTCTGATGGAGCATTTGCAGGATATTGCAACTCCCTGTCACTATTTCTAATTGAGCTGACAATGACAGTCATGAATTTCTTTGTATTAGTGTTTATTTTAGGCCTTTTAGGTCCGCTCATGTCACTGGTCGATCATTTATTGTCCTGAATGTTATCTGCTATTGAGTCATCTGCATGCTTTATGTTATTGACTTCCATTACCTTGTTACCAATATCTCATCAAACTCCTTACTGAAAATCTTCTCCAAATGAAGGTTGAGCGAATAATATAGAGTCATGTCTGACTCCTGCATGGTTCGAAACTCATTTGTTTTTATACGTTTTCTGTTTGGTACCAGAACAGGTTCCATACAACGAATGAGCTCCGTTTTTCACAATAATCCGATTATGTGAAAAAAAAGACACTTCCTTACATCTAATGTTAACGTCAATCAGTAACATTCAAATTTATTTCATAATACATTTGTATATGATAGACATTTTCTTTTTAAAATATTTTCAAATACCATTCACAAAAATATCATTATATAATATGAGTGTTTTAATATGGAAATGCAATGTTAGCAGAAACGTTATTTTATTGATATTTATTATTTTATTTGTTCCATTTTACAATTCGTAATAAAATAAATTGCATGTAATATAATCTGGATGGATGCACAAACACTCTATTCAGTGATTCGCTCGTACTACATCCTCATTTATGTAAATTGGGATTTTATTACAATATCCAATAATTAAGTGCAATTAAAAATTTTAATATACGGATGCTTAGTGTAATATTAATTTATATTGCCAAATATATAATTTGAAATATTTCAACCATAAATTTCTATTTCACCAGCAATACATAAACCCTTTTGATAATTAAATTTACATAACACTTCTTCACCTATTATTACTAGATACATGCACGTATATTCTCCATGCGTGGGACAATGACAGAAAAAATTGAGCTCGGGGAATTTCCACTTTTATCACCAGCTGGAAAGGAATATATTATTATCATGATGGTTTGATGTGATGTTACTCAAACTTTATTCAACCAGTATGTTTATACTGAAAGTATTTCATGTTGATTGGATCGTGTTATAAAGAAGTTTATTTATGAAAATACGAAAATTCACTTTTTATGTAAATGAGTTTTATTTTTTCAGATATTATTACCATCGCAGCTTCAATTGTAGTTCTAGCTCTTACAATGAAATCCGGAGGACAGGTACTAGCCGCTAGTGCTTTGAGAGGTCTAAGATTCTTCCAAATTTTAAGAATGGTTCGAATGGATAGACGTGGAGGAACATGGAAACTTTTAGGTTCAGTTGTGTACGCACACAGACAGGTATGGATTTTATGTTGATTTTAGCTAGTTTCTAAACTAGCTAGTTTAGATATAGAAAAATCAGGAATCACAGAGAGCATGTACTCTCAGAAAAACATCATGAAATATAATAACCAACCGGAATTCAATCACATAAAAAGGACACGTCTTAAAGCATCGAACACCTTTTATTATTGGTCTAGATCAGTGTTTCTCAATCTTTTGTAGAGTAAGAAACCCTAGAGCGCACTTTTTTCTAGGGAACCCCTATCCTAAGTACTTAATTAAATATGAGACAATGTTCGGTTTTGTGTCAAAACATAGGCATTAATACTTACTATTTATTGAGCTTCTAAATAAGGAGAAATTTTTAAAAAAATTAAGAATTGAGTAGGTACATTGTATGTATATTAATAACTCAAAAACAGTGAAAACTCTAAAATACATATTGAAAATATTTTTTCTATTGATTTTTTATGAGCTCAATGCAATGAATGGGCCTGTTTGTTTGATAAAAGTTTGTCAATATCGGGTTCAATGTTTGAAAGTTGTATCCGCATATCTACTTCAGCATTCAGTTTACTTCTTAAGTTGGTTTTTGTAAGAGCATACTTCGAAAACCCTACTTCACAACGGTAAGTTGTGATTATGAACCCAATCAAGATACTCTTCTCGCCTTGGAAAATATTCTTTGATTGAAACTTGTAGTTGTTTTTTTAAAATTTTTGCGGAACCCCAATCGCTACTTTGCGGAACCCAGTTTGAGAATCACTGGTCCAGATGGTGGAATCTTTCAAGACCTCTAGAAGATAGCATGAACCGAATCAAATCCTGATGGAATTCAACCTTCTTTGAAGTAAGAGTTAAGCGTTCTATCTTGAGTTGAGCTTCCCTACTAAATTCTGCTGTCAATCATCGGCAATAGTTCAATCGATAATGACGGCTCTTCATTATCGATTGAACTATGTCAGTAGTAGGTGCTTTGACCGTCTTCTTCTTAGCATCTCCTGTCTGAGAGAATACAGGCTTTGGGTATTTTAGACACCCTCGGCAGCTCGCGCAGACACTGCGTCGTTCCTCCATGGTGAACTTTGGGAGTTTGCAGGAACCAGAGCTGTAGTTCCCTGCACACTTTACGCACTTCTCAGGGCGCACGCGTCATGTTTGTTTTAGTACAAATGTCAGATATCTATTCAACTCATTTCAAACACCAAGCCTCAAGAATTTCTTGATTCTGGAAATCTCATCCATAGTTTTGGAAAGAACTAGGTAACTTATGCATCACTGAAATTCTGACTTTTCAGCTATTTTTGCAATATTTGCAATGGATATGTCTATTGGTATTTCAGGGATTTCCTCCTACAGAGTCATCTTTTTTTGCAGCTGATACGCGAAGAACGGCTTTCAGGGTCTTGATCAAGGCCCTGGAGTCTTTTGTGATTTTGAGATAGCTCTTGGTTCTCTTCCCAAATGCCTTTACATTGTCGAATCCGATCTTCTTCTACGTCAACTTTCTTGATACCCTGTTCTATTAAGATAGTGACAGCTGGTGGTGCTTTCGCAGCTGTGGTAAACGATGCCCTCTTCTGGTTTGTCTTGGGTCTCCGAACCCACTGCGTCCAAATCCATCTGTTCTTCCTCTTTGTCTGAATCGCCGTTCGCTTGAATGAATTGATCATTGAATGCGTGTCCCCCCCCCCCCGGCATATTTATTTGTGTAACTTAATTTGGCGCTCCTAGTTGCTTGAGTTTTCGTGACGTCATAGGGTGAGATTCGGTACCTTCATAGAGCCATATCTTCAGTATTATTTGTCACAGAGGGTTGCGGTTTTCACTGTTATTCTTAGATTTTTTTTTCTCTTTTTTTAGAGATGAAGTTGTTTTTTTGGCGCACACCCCCTTTAGGATTTCATTCCAGCAGCAAAAAGTTTGTGAGTACACAGGAGCTCTCGACATATTTGGCCTCTGTGTTCATATAAAATCGTCAAAACATACCAGGTATCTGCGCCCCCAGAAGATCTTCAGGGCCCCTTTTCTGTAAAAATGTCGTACACAAAACTTGATACTATTTCATTTCATATTCAATTGCTGTCATTCGAATTCGAATCAAATTTCGTATGCGAGAGTGAAAATCTGGAAGCAGCCGCACACGTGAATAGAAAATTGAAAGGCTGCGGTCGATTTGAAGTGTTTGTTTTCATGGCTTCAAGATGTAATTCATTTAATTTAATAGTGAAAGAAAAAATAGGTTTAATTAAAAAAATATTTATATAAACCAAACAAAAATAATTAAAATTAAAGACAAAAAACTTCATCCAGCTCCTGCATATTTGGTGAAGTGCCCAACACCGAAGCTGCATTCCCTCTCTGGATGGCTATGTTAATCCTCTGTAACAAGAACGAGGTGGACCTGGGTTCATGACAAAGAGATTTGATTTTGGCACCTAATTCTTTGAAAAATGATTTCGCTTTTTCACCCCAAGGACCAAAAATTTCTACACGAAACGGGACAAAAATTATTTTTCATTATTTCAGAATATTTATTCCTTTTAGAAATTTCCCAAATTTTTCTAGACTCTCCGGCTTTCCTTGATGTCATGTTGACATAAGATGCAGCTAGGGTATGAGAGCAGGATTCTCTCATTTAAATTTAATTTAAGACACGATGTTTTAAAAATATTTTTATTTTAAATAAATTATCAATAATTTCATCACCATAAAAAAGCAACAACTTTTTTTTTTATTTTGTGCATTTAAGCTGTCCATCAATATTAATTAAGAAAAAAAAAATGAAAAGAAAGTCTACCTAATCACTATTGAATTCTTCCAAAGTAAAAGTAAACAATTTCAGTATTTGTTTTAGGAATTAATGACTACGCTCTACATAGGATTTTTAGGATTAATTTTTGCATCGTTCTTGGTATTTTTGGCAGAAAAGGATGTGCCCCATACAAAGTTCAATAATTTTGCTCAAGCCCTATGGTGGGGTGTGGTAAGTAGATACCTCGACTTGAAAATTTCACAAATAAAAGTTTGAAATCCTTTCCAGATTACACTTTGCACAGTAGGATATGGCGATATGGTTCCGTACACGTGGCAAGGGAAAATTATCGCATCATTTTGTTCGTTATTAGGGATTTCTTTTTTTGCACTACCCGCCGTAAGTTATAAACTTTTGCTATATAGTTTATACTTTTACGAGCAAAGTTTTGAGTGATATACACACGCTCAATTTTATTTTGCTATAATTCGAGTTTTCTAAGTGCAGTTGAAAAATGCTGACTTAAAACGATACCAATTTTTTAGCAATGCCAATAGAAACGTCTCATTATTTTAAGGTTACTTTGGTGTATCGGCCCCAATGACATCAAAACACAGATAGACGGATCATCCCATTCATAAACTATTATTTGTTGTGTTGACAAGACCACCCATGGGCCAGGGGAGGTGAGTTGCTCGCGGGGTCGGGGTAGGGAGACATCATTGCTCAAAATGGTGTAAAAAACCCCGCCCACACGTGAATATATCTCGAAATTTAATTGGATGAATAAATAAAATAACAAATTGACAAATAAACTGAAAATATTCGATACGAGCCCTTTATTCTGGGAGTACCAATATCGTGTTAGTCGTTTCTTGTTTAACGCTAATGAATAATCCCTGTTTGCAATAAAGATAGCTAGCTACTACAATCAACACCTGCCAGCCATTCAACCAGCCGCTTCTGGGCGGTGTTTTGCTATAATCTGCTGTTGCCAAATTGAGTTCAGAAATAAAATTCAAAATGTTAATTAGAGGAGAAAAATATATTATTTAGGGATTCAAGACAAAATTTGGCATTCTCATTGGTGGGGATAGCACAAAGACCCAAAAGAGACAGAGAGATGTTGTCATACGAAAATTTTGTTTATTGTTCGGTCTATCTGTGTTTTGATGTCATTGATCGGCCCTAAGAGCCCGCGTTAATTATTTTCCACAAAACCAAGGAAGACCTATTACTAACTCAATACAAAATCCAGCTTTAAAACATATTTATGTTAGTATTTTTTATTAGGGTATTTTGGGCTCCGGATTTGCCCTCAAAGTTCAACAACAACAGAGACAGAAACACATGATAAGAAGGAGACAACCAGCCGCCACCCTTATTCAATCCTTATGGAGGTGCTACGCTGCAGATGAGAAATCCTTGTCGGAGGCAACTTGGAGAATACATCAGATTCCATACAGTCCACCAGCGTGAGTAAAGCCTTTTTTTCAAATTTAATATTCTACCTCAAGTTTACTGACAGAGTTAAATTTAATGCCTGGTTTATACTTCTGAATTAAGAATTAAACTAAATTGAGAAATGAGAATTAAACTAAACTAAAAATGTAAATGTTAAATCACCATGATTATGTGGTTTATACCTCAAATTAAAAAAATTAAATTAAATTAAAAGTTGGCTAACTTTCAACTGAGAATTAAAAATTAAGGAGATCGTTCTAGTTCGTTAAATTCGGAAGCCACGATCCATGCGATCTGCTAAATGACAATATGTTTGTTGTCACTCTAGCTGGTTTTAGTTTATTTTTAACCTCTTTCTGTCATTTGTGATTACGTAAAGAGCTAGCTAATTTCAGAAAATCTTTAATTCTTAATTCTCAATTTTAGGTACAAACTGTTTATGTTGTTTATTTTATTATATTTATATATATTTCTAAGTTTATTTCAATTCTTGATTTTGGAAGTATAAACCAGTCATAACAACCTATGTTGCGAAGATACTTTTCGCATTCGTTTTGAATCGAGCCGTTAGCTTTTTCCATTCATATTAGCTCGTACGCAAAACATACGCCCACCCTTTTTGTGCTAGGGAATTTCGAAAACTTTTAAGATAGGCCTTGAAAATTTGTATACCCCGATTTTATGGAAGTTTGAGGCTTTTTATTTATTTACACAAAAACCGCTCTTGGGGTAGGGCAAAGAGCTCCCTTCGACCTACTTACTTGCCATATTTAACATCAGTATGTTGCTAAAGGTTTTGACTTTATTTTGATTTTCACTCTAATCGGATTTCAGGAAATCGATGAAATGAATATTGTGATGCAAATCTCGCAGGCATGGACGATAAAAACACGTCAAAAATGGAAGCAATGGAAAACCACTTTTTTTGCTTACATTAAAAACTAACAACTAGTCGAAAAGCCGACTTTTATCTCTTTTAAAAAAATTCGACCGTATGGATGTTTTATTGACACATCTTAATTGTCTAATAAAAAATTCTAGATGAACATGAGCAGAAGGTTTTTTTGGTTAGTTTTGGGGTTAATTTTAAAAAATCATTTATTTTTAAATAACGATTTCTTGGTAACTCCAACTTTCTTGAATTACACTGCTTCAAAACAAACTCCATAGGTTATGATACACCATTTATTTGAAGAACTTTAATTTTATCTATAATACCTACGTTATTATTCGTTTATTAAAGAAATAAAATACTATAAGGTGTTTTTATAAAAAAAAAAATATCTTTAATATCAACCTTATCAGTTTGTTTTTAAATTATTTAATGCGTAACCAATTTTATTATTTTATAATGATAATACTTAAATTTAAAATGAAAAAAAAAAGGAATAAAATTGGTATTCTCCTCCCTTATTCTTTGAAATTCAGTGGCAAGGAAAAGCTTTCCTCAGACACTTCTTATAAACCAGTGCATAATCTTTTTTTTTTTTGAATTACCCCTAAGCTATCCAGTCATATTCCAAAATGAAATTCGAAAAGGGAATGGTAATCTTGAAATTTATCTTGCTTTGTTTCTAAACCACGAATTTGATTGAGTCTTTGTCTCTGTTTGCTTTTATTTTATTTTCAATAATGGAAATAACTATATAGATTGAGATTTTATTCTGGAGACATAATTCAGCGGTTTGGATTAGTTTGCCAAAATATTTTAGCTTTTCTGGAAAACTGCTTTTCGTCCTCAATTGATAACTGATTTGGGAAGAATGTACCGGACATACGGCTACTATCTAATATAATATTAAATGTGCATTATGATGTATCCTAGAAAACTTTGAGAATTCGATTATTAGGTGGATTAGCTCTTGGATATACGACTATTCAGCCCAATCTCCTGGCTTCCGGTCAATTACTGTTCACAAAAACTACTGGAAACAATAAAATAAATCTAACACTTGTTTGTTAGGAATTCAAATAGTTTTTTTGATCGCACAAATCGCAAGGTGACTTTCTCGTTTACGGTTCGCGTATGAGAAGAAGGACATACATTATTCATAGATGGATATTCAGTTGGGAAACAACCAAGTAGAGTAAGAGTAGGTTTTATTACTATGCAATAAAGTTCTCAGAATGTCGATAGGGAAAGAATGTTTTGTGGCTATTGTGACAATACATTGTGAAAAATCATCAGACACCAGCAACATTCTTGAAATAGCTTTCTTATAAAATTGGTAAACAATTTATTGCACGACTTAGCGCAAACAATGATGATTCTTAATTGCAATTCACTAATTCAAAGTTATTCTAACCCACCATCCATTAAATAAATTACATCGAGAGCGGTTAATGCAGGCTCCGGCTTTTAAGCCCTAAGGATCCGTAATTTCGATGAAAAACAAAGACATCTTTTTCCAAATCCAACAGGATTTCTCTATAAATGGTTATATATAGTGATGGAAAACATCTCGATTTCTTCGTATATTGCAAACTGAAAAGGCAATGTTGGAACTCGAGAAAATAGTTATTTGTATGACAACGAAGGAGTATTTGAGGAAGGATATAATATGGATTCCTGCTTTTATATAATATGAATAAAATAATATGAATCTGATTTTTTTTCTAATTTTAACATTCCTACTTTTTATAAAGGTATCTTACTGGTTACGAAATTAAATTTTTATAACCAAACATTCATTTATTTCATTGGCAACATCAATATAAGATAACTGTTCTTTCTTTAATTTTTATGGTAAAATGCATGTGACTAGCGCTTCAAAATTGCAAATAATCCATCCAACTTCTTTATACCAACATTTTTGTTTAAAGAAATGCTTCTTCTCAACGTGGTATAAAGTAGGCGCAATGTAGCACGTTACTTTTCCCTTGAAAAAGGGTCAAAAACACCTTCCCGTTGATGTGCTAGATACGTTTTACTTTAATACATCTGTTAAAATTATTAGATGCCGAATCATATTTTCATTTTGATACTTTCTAATGCGATTTGTTTTGCCTCCTCCACATCGCATTACTCTAAACCTGGATTTAGACATTTTTAACGCTAGCAGAATCGCGGAATAGAATAAACAACTTTTAGCAACCATCTCAGTAGATATCCACTCGTAAAATGAAATCGAAGATTAGCCATCGGCCATTTAACACATTCTTGTACAAGTTTTCAAATTAATTTTTAGAAAACTGGTCGGAAAAAAACGACTGAGTCTTAATAGCCATTTCACCGCGTGGATTTCGTTTGAAAAGTGGATTTCTCGGATGGACTCTCTCACTAATTTCTGAAATTGGTATAATTGGATCCAACTAATAATAGAATTTTCTGCACCCTTTTTTTCCTTCCTTAGGCCTGTCCGACTTATTATCTTCATGCAGCACTGAAGCCTAAAAAGGCCTATTGTGCTTAGCCTGTTTGCTTTATTTCAACCACTCTAGTATTACAGTATCCTGTACAAGGCTGTACAGGTCTTCTACTCGGTGGTGTTTCATTATTATTTCCGGGACTACGTTTGGTTGCCTGGAAATGCTGTGTCTTCTACGATCCAGTGCCTCGCAGTTTACCAGGAGGTGTCAGGCTGTCTCGGGTTCCTTATTACAGAACCTACAGTTAAGGTCTCCGTTATACAGGTTAAGGTTGACCTTTACTGTTGTGTGGCCTGTCATGAGGCCCGTTATATCCTTAGTCAGCTTCTACTTAGGTAGGAATTAAACTGAACAACCACAATCGATCGCCCTCGAACGAGCAAAAAACAAACAACCTTAAACGAGCGGTCCCATTTATACTGCCCGACCATCTTCGGTCGACCAATAGCGACCGGTTGGAATTTCGAGCCGGTTCGAAATTTTGGTCGACCACGATCTATTGACGGCAACTACGCATGCGCAATCGAAATTTTTCCCAGAAATCGCAAACAGATGGTTGGTAGAAGGCTAGGAAAGTTGATTAATGAAGAATGTCCAGGATAAATGTCCGACGAACATTATCATTCGGTTCGCCTGAGAACGTTCAAGGACGATCGACAGTGGTCGTTCAGTCTAATCCATGCCTCATTTGTAGCAGTTCTACGGCCCTTTTTCTGCATGGTGGCTCGGTGAACTCCCTACCATGATTCTGCCTGGAAGTTGTCCAGTAGTAGGGCTATTCTTCCGAACTGAACAAACTAATCTGATTTAACTGCAAGTGATATTTATTTTCACATCACTTCGCTAATTTCTGTCGCAGAGAAAGATCAAGAATCCATTTCAGCTGATTTTGTTTACTCACAAATGATCTGAAGGAAGTAAACTTGTAAAAATTCTGCGATCACTTGGACTTGGGGCTAGAAATAAACTGATTGCAATCAGTTGGTAGGTATGGTGGGGGATGTGATCCGAAATCGAAAAATTACAGTTCAATCAGTTCAGGTAACTTCAATCAATTTGTTCAGAACAAAAGAATGCTAGGAGTGTCGATGTTCTTTACGAATCCAGTCTTTGAAGTAGCTTCTGGTCATACTTTTTGGTATCCTTAAAGCCGACTCTGGCCGGACAAGTTTTGTCTCTGAACCTCTCTTTGCGAGTTCGTCAACTTTTTCGTTGCCTTCGATTCCTGTGTGTCCTGGCACCCAGATAGGATTTACCTTATTTTGGTCCGCCAGGGCCCTGATTTCTTCCTGGCCTTCCCATACTAGTCTTGATGTCACTCGCTGGCTCGAAAGAGCCTTCAGTATTGCTTGACTGTCGGACATTATAAGGATCTGCCGGCTCTCCTGTTATTCTCTGCTGCGCACTGCAGTATAGCATAGACCTCTGCCTGAAAAACATAGGCATGCTCCCCCAGTGCGTAGTGATTGCTGTAGCTGGCGGAGTATGTCCCTGCCCCGGTACCAGCCGCAATCTTCAACCCGTCCGTGTAGCAGGTCCCAGGTCCGGTCCTGCTTTTTGGTCTCCGGTATGCCCTGTTTCCATTCAGTCCGGATCCCTTACTTTTGAAAAACTTAGAGTCCTTGTTGAGAAAATGAATAAA